GAGGAAACAGTCACAGTGCAAGACGTATGACAGAGTAGGAGAGGTGTAGGAGAAATATACATGGACGGACAAGTCCCTGATGGGTGACAGGGTGTTTAAAACACCAGAATAGGAGGAAATAAGGAAAAGATTATGATATGCATAGAGGTTTGTGAGATACAGCGTTAAGAAGTCCATGGCTTCTGTTTCCTCTGTCATGAAAAGGTGAGGTCACTTCTGGGTGAAGACAGTGTAAAGCTGGATCACAGCTGGATCATAACTAAGCAACCAGCAAGGGAGTGAGTGAAAAGGAAAAATTCAAAATCAATGGCTAAAAAAGAAAAGATAAACAACTTCATGCTAATATGGAAATGGATTTGATCAGATTTAGATAAAGTTCAGCATAGCATCTAACCACCATGTAGTTCATTTCCTACATCACTGTAGGAAAAGAAAATTCACAACCTGCTAAGAATTCTCCCCCCAAACCCAGAACAAAGCAAACTGAGGAAATCAGCAGCCCATAGAAAAGTCAGAGAAAAATCCTCAAAAATGAAAATCTTTTCCTCCCACACCAAAATCTCCAGGGATTCCTTTTAGCCAGCAGCCCACCATTGAGAACCACTCAGGATGTTCTCTCTCATCTTAGGAATTGGCTGCACATAGAACTGGGGAAGTGAGCCCAACACTGGCACTTAATGAAATCTAAGAGGACAGAGCTAATTTTCCAACAAAGGTTTTACTCTCTTTCAGTATCATTAAGCTATAGAAGTAGCAAAGAATACAAGAACTAGCCTCACATGGGAGCAAACTTAGAAAACAAGATTCAGAGACGGTGGGAAGGCTGTCAAGTCTTGGTAAAGGCCCTCATAATCTGGGCTGATGGGACAAGCACATAATTCTTTTTTTAACAATTTGGATGTTGGAGAAAGGCACTAAAATGATCCATACCTTTAGCATTTTATTAGTTCATCTTTAAACAGATTTTCATCTTTAAATATCTAACCCGTTTTTAAAGCATGGATCCTGTAAAGCTAGTGCCAACAGCTACCTTCTCCTTGTGGCCCTCTTTCTTCTCACTCCTATGCCTGTCACTTCCATTTCAACACTTACATGAATTGCAGCCCCACAGATCCTTGACTCCTCATTTTAAAGAATACGTCCCCCTCTGTTACTTCCAAGGTCTTGACTTTTTCCCATCAGTATCAGATCACCTGTGAAGTCTTGACGTCACACCTCCTATCTTTCAGGCTCACTTCATTGCTGTTATCAGTTCACAGGACAGCACCACTTTCTCACCATTCACCACCTCCCTCTCTGTCATGTATTCCTTGAATAGCTTAGATTCCATGTTTCAATACTACAATCACCTGGAAAATATCTTCAACTCCCTGGCTTGCTTCTACTTCCATCTAAATGGCTTAAAAATCTAACTGCAATTCTCATCTTTTTTTTTTTTTGTGAGAGGGAGTGTCGCTCTTGTTGCCCAGACTGTAATGCAATGGTGCCATCTTGGCTCACAGCAACCTCCGCCTCCGGGTTGAAGATATTCTCCTGCCTCAGCCTCCCAAGTAGCTGGGATTGCAGGCATGCACCACCACACCCGACTAATTTTGTGTGTTTAGTGGAGATGGGGTTTCTCCATGTTGGTCTGGTTGGTCTCGAACCCCCGACCTTGGGTGATCTGCCTGCCTCAATCTCCGAAAGTGCTGGGATTACAGGTGTGAGTCACTGCACCCGGCCCTAACTGCAATTCTCTATACCTGAAATCAAGCAGCTAAATGTCACAGGAGAAAAAAAAAATAACACTAGGTTTGCCTAGCTTTGTTTTAAATTCAAGATAACCCCAGAACCATACAATGCTGTCCAAATTAGTATTTTCCTATTAAGCTGAAGTTTTCTCCTCCTCAAATTCCCACATCAAACTGCTTTAGCCTTAAACTACTTTAATGCATCTCAATTCATTTCAACATCAGTGACCCTTACACTTCCTCTCTCTCCTCAGTACATTATGGAATAAAAATGCATTATCTAAAAATACAAATATTTTAAAACTCTTGTTATAGTCAAGCCCACTATAAACATTAGTGATGCTCAATTGTGCTAAAACAACGGAATGAGCCACAAGGAAGTTCACTTGATCTCCCCCAAACATGAACATACACTGACTCGATAAACACTTTCAAACTATTACATTTTAAAGAAAAATGTTTATATTATTTATCAATTTTAAAAGATAAATAGATGGCCATTTAGAGTATTAACATTGTAAACTCCATGAAGGCAGTTCTTCTGTAAGTATCCATTACCACATTTTATCAAAGTGAGTATGCTGTATAACCCAATGTTTTCACTTGTAATTTGTTTGCAAAACAATCATCACAGTCCAATAAAATATCCAAATGTAATAAAAAATCTCTCTCAAATGTCTTCTGCTTCACTGTAGTCTGACCCCTATTTACATTAGTTATGTAATAGAAATCGGCATTCTCTAGATGAGGGTGAACTGTAAGCTATAAATAATTCTGTGTCAAAGGATCCACACAAGCAATTATGAGACAACTTCAACAATAAAACCTTCTTCAGAGCTACTTTATAATGTTTTCTAGGGTCATTTAAGAAAATAAAGAGGAAAAATTCTTCCAATTCACCATAAATGCTGATCATTACATGATTAAATATAAAAGTACTCTTAAAAATAAGAGAAAAAAATGCTTATTTGGCAATGTGCTGTTATTTATATACTAGCACCTTTGAGCTTTAAAAAAATTCAACAGCATTTACAATGCATGCTCTATCTATTTTAGTTATGCCAATGCTCAATGAAAAGCAGATGATCAAAGGAACAGAATAGCAAAACAAAATGCATATTCCGTGGGCACTTATGAATTGAACAAAAATTAAGTTTGAATAGAAGCCCATTAAACTCATCATTAAAGAAATTTTGTTGCAGAAGATTCACAATTATTGGTACCACTGACATGATGATGCTGTTAATGCTCTGATTATATGAGTACAGTTTGTTTTCAAACTATAAAATGTTAAAATCAGAATGCTCAAACTGTAAAGGTAATGTAATTTACCAGGACACACTCAATTCTATTACAATAATAACATGGAAAATTTGACCATAATCAAACTCTAAGTTCAGCAGAGCATGAAGCGGGCTACCATTATGAACTATGATTATATACATTATTTAACTCATTAACAGAAAGTGTAAATGGCTTTAACTCATTAGCTTTCAAAGTGAACATTTATATTTCATTTATTCCTCAGAAAAAATACTATGCCTGACAAATCTCAATCATCTTTTCATGCAAAGGGAACGTTCCAGCCCACAATACAGCTTCTAACTTCTTGGTATAAATGTCTCTGGGAGATTGAGGACAAAGGGAGAGTGGAAATGTCCCCAGTGCTCTTAACGTAAAGTACGGCAACATGTTAATTTTACTGACAATTAAACTTAAAATTTAAAAGCCTCCAAACCAGACTAGAATCAAATGAGTAGAACAGGCCAGGCATGGTGGCTCACACCTGTAATCCCAGAATTTTGGGAGGCCAAGGCAGGCAGATTACCTGAGGTCAGGAGTTCAAAACCAGCCTGGGAAACATGGTGAAAACCCGTATCCACTAAAAATAGAAAACTTATATGGGTGTGGTAGCGCGCACCTGTAATCCCAGCTACTTGGGAGGCTGAGGCAGAAGAACTATCTGAACCCAGGAGGTGACGCCTGCAGTGAGCTGAAATCGCACCACTGCACTCCAGCCTGGGCCACAGAGTAAGACTCCACCTCAAAAACAAACAACAAAAACAAAAAGAATGAGGAGAACATTTTATCACTTCACATGGCAGCCAAAACTTAAAACTCTAATCAAGAACTACTTTGAGAAATAGCTCCACCTGGTAGTTAAAAATCAGTTATAGTGCTTACTCCGTGTACATGAACTGCATTACTTACTAAGCACTGTAATCAAACTTAGAGGTTAAATAGCTTTCAGTAAATTTAAGGTGGATAGAAATGGGGAATTCAATGGCAAACAAAATCCTTGGACAGATCATTTGCTTAAATTGGACACAGCATCAACCCCACTTTCTGAATTTTGGCAATAAAAGTAGTTTTATTTCATTAGCTTTACTCATATAAAAATGATTACGCTTTTCAGTAAAGGGCACATATTTATAACTTCCAAGATGCCTTTATAAAGACTGCCTAAAATAATACATAGAAACCCAAAACACATAAAAATTCTGCAAGTATTATCTATTATGTACTTACTAAATGTATATCTTTATACAGCTATTATACATTTTCAATTTTTCATTAGTTATTATCCCAACAGATATCAGCAATGCTGGAATCAACATACTTCCAAATGTAGGAACAATATGCCAGAACACAAAGGACTTGGCACTTCAAAATTCCTACTCGAATTCTTAAGTCAACTTCAGTCATTTCTCCACTTTTTATTTCTAAAGTTAATACACTATCATTAGAATAGCTGGGTGAAACTCAAACACAGGTGAATAAATAGTAGAAATTCAGTTAAATAATATTAAGGCTAATGTAATTAAATTTTCATGTTGTACTTTAAAAAAAAAAAAAAAAAAACAGCAGCTGCCAACTTTTCAGTTGAGAACAAATTTCCATAGTTCTTATTTTATAAATTACTTCTCAGCATTCTATATGGGTTTTAACCAGACAAACCAATAATTTCTTTATTAAGATTCTTTTTTTAAAAAAGTATGTGTATATGAAGGGTTTTAATAAACTTCCAAAAAAATTAAAAATTAAAAATTTAAAAAGACTTCTCTATCTTACTCATAATTTTGCAATTAAACAAGCCATTTCAAAACACAAAGTTTAAAGCTACTTCTTAGGCCATTAATTTGACCAGCTTTTGTAACTGTGATATTTGTAATATTATAAAATACACTGCTAGTATCAAAAAACTTTATATACTTTAGTGCAACAAATATTCTTCCCCCCACAGAAAAAAGAACAATGTAATAATTTTAATTTTTGTTAGCAGTCACAAAAATTTTTATTTAGGAAAAATATTCCCTTCAGTATTTATTAGATAATGAATAGTTTACTTTTACTTTTCTGTGTAGAACAATTTAGAAGTATGCCACTTTCCTTTCATAAGCAAACTGTTTTTGTCTCATTCTGCATGGCAGATCAAAAATTAACATTTCTTTCTGCCTTAAAAATTAGGAGATTTTCCTCATTATGAATTAGTTGTTTCTATATGGATTACTGCTGTGCTGCTAAAAACAAAAAGTTAGTAAAGGTTATGGACACGTGGAGAAAAAAACAAGCTATAATACTAGTTAAGAATGAAATACATTAAACATTATTTAAATATTAAACAGTAAAATACTCCTTCTATATTAATAAATAATTAAAAATTGCATCTGCCAATGGGAATACAGGCCAATACCACCAATAACAGGGATGGTCTAGTGCAAAGGGTGGCCACGAAACAAGAACAAAACAAAAACCACACACACATGCAGAAACGAAGGAAGAGGAGAACAATTTAATACTGGTATTGTTTCCAATAACAAATTAAACCAGTGATTCTGAATTCTTCCTGCACACTCAAATTACCTGGAGAACGTCTAAAAAAAAATACTGATGACCAGGTCTCGTCTGAAATTACATAAAAATGGGAATGAAGATTCAGGCATGGGGTTTTTTAAAAACCCTCCAAATGATTCTAACATGCAGTCAAGGTTGAGAGCAAGTGACTGAAACCTACATATTTCTTACGTTCCCTGACTGAGAAGAATGTCCTATCAATGTAGAAATAGAAATTTCCTTTACAGATTGGGCATACATGGGTATCTCCAGTTAGAAGTAACTTATGGGTAAGTTATTAATTTATACTTCATTCCCATTAAAGTATCTACTTATACCTCTCCTCATTCCCTGTAATTCTGTATCCTCAAACTCCAAAACCAAGTAGAGTCAAACTACATTTTTGTAATAAATTTGTTACACTGAAAATACATCATTCATGCATATAAATATTTGCCGAATGCCTACTATGTGCAAGGCACTGTGTTAAGTACTGCTATAGGACCATGTCATGGGAGAATGAATAGGGATTGCTGAAAAATTTTGTGTTTTAGAATAAATGGCTAAAAAATAATGGAATGAAATTAATTCCAAGGACCTAAATAAGAAACTAAATTGTCAAAGAGAAAAAAAGCAGTGCTTATACTAAGGATCTGATTTTAAGACAGATGATCATCGCATATTTGTCCTTTTCCTGATGTTCCTTTACAGTTTTGCCATAAGCCTTTGAATACACATAAGGCAAATTCAAAATAGAAAAATAAACCTGATTCAAAGCAGATGTTCCTAATTTTAACCATAGTCTGTATCAAATAAAGTTCATTAATAAGTACAAATACCAAAAATCTTTATGGGAAGGTAGTTCGTATCGACTTGTAGTAGTCTCGACAAGTAATCTTACATACAAACATCACAGATTCTGGTCCCTGACTATTTCATCGTGAAGAAAGTTTACACAACACGTAATTTATTCCGGAAACAGATCTATATGCTAAGAAAGCCTAATGTGAACAAATTTGAGTTTTCTTTTATCTTTAAGGAAAGAAGACACTTTTAAGGGAGGAAAATAGGGGTAGAATCTATTCAAATCTTCTAAGCATGCTAAAATCTAGTAATTTAAAATGCCAACTGTTCTCTTCTGAACAGCCTTGTAGGTACCATGTGAATAAATAGCTTTTCTAGTTACTAGTGGTATGGACTTTGTGATTACTTAAAAAATAAATAATTTCTTCTCATTTTTGTGACAGTGTTAAATTTCATAAAGAAGCTTGATAATGTCAGCTTAACACCTATGAAAGGGCTAAATGTTTACCAACAAAATGTTAACCGAGGAAAGAACTGCTGGGAATAAAAATGAAGAAAAAAATGACCTAAGACTGTGATCAGCAAAAATACTGATGGCAAAAACAATTTGGGAAAGTAAAGCTTTCTAGTTGCTTTTAAGTAAAAAGAGTGAAATCAGGATTCAAGGAAAATGGTCACTTGTACCTTGGATGCAACATTTTGTCTAAAGTAGAGAAATAGTAAAATATTTTACTAAGTTAAAATATAGGTTTTATATTTTATACCATATTTAATACACACATAAAAATACCAGTGTTTTTCTCGTTTCTTTTCAATTAAGCAAATGTGTTCTTTGGTGTCTGGGAGTTTATCAATATTTAGGGATAATGGAAGATAAGAACTCCAAGACTGACAAGCCTAAACCTAAAACAGAAGACTCAAAATCCTATACCATAAAAATTAGAATCCAAGATGGACTAAAGAGAAAAGGAGCTTAAAGTCACATCGCAATAGGGCTGATACATATTCCTTCCCCAAATCATACTGCAGCTCCCAAAATAAAAAATACTACAGCCTATTATGGTTTTAATCTGTGTTTTGAAATTTTTTTCAAATGGAAAGATATCACAGATAGAAACACATCATTCTAAGTTTCAAAAATCACCAAAGTCAGTGAGAAGAATGTACATTCATTAAATGTAACCATTTGTAAATAAAGAAATCTTGAAAAGGCTGAATAGTTCATGAATAGTTCAATCAAATTGAAGAGTTGTTCTTGATTTTTCATTATTCTTTTTAAATAAAGAGTAAGTGTAGATATAGTGTACATACAGGTTGACATTTTGATTCATTCAAAATGGTCACATCCCTTTGCTTGGATTTGGATGTTCCAGAGACTAAAATTTAATACCATTCATAGCACAGTATTTTCAGTAAAAAGAATTATAGAGCAATGAAAAATCAGAAGCAAGATGGCTCAGAGAGCCTTATAATCTCTAAATATACACACATTTATAACCGGCATTTATTTTCTAAAGAAACAAATTTTAAGTAATGCTAATTTAACCAATGGAGAAAAAACTTCTATCAAAATATACAATTTCCATTACAGACTAGAAGGCTAATATTAAAAAAATAGTTGTAAGCCAAAAAGTTTGCTTAGATGGATGACAGGCATCATCTCCTTGAAGCACAAAGCATCAAATAAGGTTTTAGAAAAGATCAATCTGTGACCTTCTTCATCTTTAAGTTCTTGATAAATTCATAAAGCTTGAGTCTCAATTTCCAGAAACAGAGGAGCCAAATAATTCAGAATCTCAAGTGGGATTTATGCTTTACCATGTACCTGGAAAAAAAAAAATATGATGGTAGGTTATAATGACTATAGGAATTTCAGAATTTTTAGAATAACACATGTAGAAATAAGTTGACATTTCTTAAATCAACAGAATGAAATGTTGTTTTCTAGAAAACTGAAAATATAAGGACTTCTGGAATAAGCTAGAAATAACACTCCTAAGTAATATAATCTAAAAGCTTCTAGCTAAAATAATATATATATTTTCACATCTATTGTGAGAGACTTACACCAAGATGTTACAGATTCTAAGGAGAACACCTCAAAGAGAATGGATTCAGTGGTACTTACTGTGAACATACGCTGTTCTTAAATCTGCCAATTACAAAACTGTTATTAAAGGGTTTTATCAACACTATACTAGTAATTAAAATAAATTTTAAAATTTCATTTCTTTTCACGAACTATGTGTAACACAAATGAATCCAGAATCAGAGATCTTTTAGTACTTGCAAAAACATACGGCCCTTAATCCAAAGTTTCTTGGATAGATAATAAAGTTCAAAAAGGTCACACAGATAATTAGAGATTACAAAACCAAGACTAAAGTCTAACTCTTCTGACTCAATTTAGTGTTCCCTCTATCAGGCTATTAACTCTCCATCTCTTTCTAAAGTAATTATACAATAAAATTTTGTTGTAAAAATTATTTACTGAAGATAAGCATCAAATTAATGTTGAAAGAAGGAAATTAGGGAATAAGATTCACAACTTTATGGAACTTAAAATTTAACTGAGGAGACAGAAAAACTATAATAAACCAAAGATAAACACATTTTAGAATAAAAATTACCTGTCCAATGTTTCCCAAAATCGTAAGAACACTGGTCTATCCAAATGACGTTTGTGATAGCTAAGTTCTAATACTGTTACATCCCATTTCTGAACATTCGGATCCAGACGAACTTCATCATACTTCAGATGGAAGGCTTTAACTACAGTGAGGGTGGAGAGAAGAAGGAAGTTTTTACTCAAAACATAAACAAAATTATAAAAACATTTTACAGGAAATTTTTTAAAAATCCAAATCCCATTAATATCTGGAATGAATTCAAGACATTAAACTGAAACCTAAAAAAAAAAAAAAAAAAACCAACAAAAAAATCTTCCACCAACGGAAGCCATAGAATAACCAAAGTGATTTTTTAAAAATAATATATTTAAAAATATTCAGGGTTTATACATGCCAGGCACTGGAGACTAAAACGAGGAATATGGTAAGATAACATACATATGGTCCATTGAAGGACAATAAGAAAGACCGTAAGGGTACTAGTTTATTACAGAAACCCAAGAGTGCAACCATACCTTGCAGATATTGTGGGTTCAGTTCCAGACCACCACAATAAAGTGAGTATCATAATAAAGTGAGTTATACATATTTCCTGGTATCTCACTGCACATAAAAGTTACATTAACACTATGTCACAGTCTATGTTAAGTGTGGAATAGCATTATGTCTGAAAAACAATGTATATGCCTTAATTAAAACATACTTTGTTGCTAAAAAATGCTTATAATCATCTGAGAGCCTTCAGGAGGGGCTAATTTTTTTTTTGCTGGTGTAGGATTATGCCTCAATGTTGATGGCTGCTGACTGAATAGGGTGTGGTCTTTGATGAATGTTAGGCTGAGCAATTTCTGAAAACAAGATAATAAAGAAGTTTGTGGTACTAATTAACTTTATCTTTCTGCAGTATGTGATAATACTTGACCGCGTTTTAATTATAGAAGAACTTCCTTAAAACTGGACTCAATCCTCTCAAACCCTGACGCTTTACTATATTTATGTCATGTTCTAAATCCTCTGTTGTCATTTCAACAATGTTTATAGCATCTTCACCAAAGTGCTCACTGGAGTGAATTCTATCTCAAAAAACCACTTTCTTTGCTCATCTGAAAGAAAGAACTCATCCATTCAAGTTCCAGCATGAGAGTGCAGCAACTGAGTCACATCTTCAACCTCCACTTCTATTGCTAGTTCCCTTGCTATTTCCACACCCTATCTTCGGTTATTTCCTCTACTGAAATCCTGAACCTCTCAAAGTCATCCATGAACCATGAAGGTAGGAATCAACTTCTCCTAAACTTCTGGTAATGCTGATATTTTGACCTTCTCCTATTCACAAATGCTCTTAATGGCATCTAGAATGGTAAATCTAGAAAAGTTTCAATTTACTTTTCCCTGATCCATCAGAGGAATCACTATCTATAGCAGCTACAGCCTTATAAATCTTATTTCTTAAAAAAAACTTGAAAAGTCTAAATTACTCCTTGATCTATGGGCTCAAGAATAGATGTTGTGTTAGCAGTCGTGAAAACAAAATTTATCTCCTTGAACACCTTCATCAGAGCTTTTGAATGAGTAGGTACATTGTCAATCAGGAATACTATCTTGAAAGGAATCTTTCTGAGCAGTAGGTCTCAACAGTAGGCTTAAAATATTCACTGAACTCTGCTGCAAACAGATGTGCTGTCATTCACACTTCGTTGTTTCATTTCGAAAGCACATGTAGAGCCAATTTAGCATAATTCTTAGTGGACCTAAAATATTTAGAATGGTAAGTGACAACTGGTTGCAACTCAAATTCCCCAGCTGTATTAGCCCCAATATATGGATGACAGAGGGTCAGTCTGTTCTCTGAAGTCTTGAGGCTAAGCACAGACTTCTCTGGTATATATTAAGTATACGAGATGGGATCTTCTTCCAATAAAAAGCCGTTTCATCTACTATGAAAATGTGTTGTTTAGTGTAGCCACCTTCATTAATAATATTTGCCACATCTTCTGAATAACGTGCTCCAGTTATTCAGAAGATATGGCAGATTTTATAATGTGCAAATAATCTGAACAGATGTTTCTCAAAAGATGACATAAAAATAGTCAACAAATGTATGAAAGTATGCTCAATGTCAGGAATCATCAGGGAAATGCAAATCAGAACCACAGTGAGGTATCATCTCACTCCAGCTGGGATGGCTTTTACAAAAAAGACAAAAAATAATAAAAGCTCCAGAGTATGTCGAGACCGGGCAACTCCTATGCATTGTTGGTGGGAATATAAACTAGTAGAGTTACTATGGAGAACAGTCTAGAGCTTCCTCAAAAAACTACCAATAGGGCCAGGTGTGGTGGCTCACCTCTACAATCCCAGCACTCTGGGAGGCTAAGACGGGCAGATCACGAGGTCAAGAGATTGAGACAATCCTGGCCAACATGGTAAAACCCCAACTCTAATAAAAGCACACAACACAAAAATTAGCCAGGTGTGATGATGTGTGCCTGTAGTCGCAGCTACTTGAGAGGCTGAGGCAAGTGAATTGCCTGAAACTGGAAACCAGAAGTTGCAGAGAGCTGGGATAGAGCCACTGCACTCCAGCCTGGCGATAGAGCGAGACTCCGTCTCAAAAAAAAAAAAAAAAAAAAAAGCAAACAAAAAACACTACAAATAGAACTACCATATGATTCAGCCATCTCATTACTGGGCATTTATCCAAATGAAAGGAAATGAGCATACTGAAGAGACTTCTGCACTCCCATGTTTAATGCATTCTATTCACTGTACTATTCACAACAGCAAAGATATGAAATCAACCTAAGTGTCCAAAAACAGATAAACGGATAAAAAATGTGGCTTATATGTACATGATAAAAGACTATTCAGCTATTAAAAAAATGAAATCCTGTCATTTGTGGCAACATGGATGAAAATGAAGGACATTATGTTAAGTGAAACAAGCTAGAAACAGAAAGTTAAACCACAAGTTCTCACTTACATGTGTAAGTTAAAAAAGAGTTGATCTTACAGAAGTAAAAAATGGAACAGAAATAGTGGCTGAGAAGAGGAGATGGGAGGGAGGAATAGGGAGAGATTTGTTAAAGCATACAAAACTACAGCTGGATAGAAGAAATAAGTCACTATAGGATGACTACAGTTAACAATAATATATAGTTTCAAAGAGTTAGATAAGAGGATACTGACCATTCCCAAAGAATGATAAACATTTGAGATGACAGCTATGCTAATTACAATAATCTTATCACCATACATTATACATATCAAAACATCACTATGTACCCCATAAATATGTATAATTATATGGCAGGGGTCCCCAAACTTTTTACACAGGGGGCCAGTTCACCGTCCCTCAGACCGTTGGAGGGCGAGACTATGCAAGGTGTGACACCCTTCACAGCCAGCGCTGCTGCCTCCACTGTCCCAGACAGCGGTATACGGTGTCACAGGCCCAGCACCGCCTCCAGTGCTGTATACAGGGATGGTGGTGATCACCCTGTGATACTGTGTATACAGCATCCTGGACATCTGCAGCAGCGGTGGGCTTCTTCTGTGGGAAGCCCACTGCTGCATGTTTCTCCTATGATAAGACACCTCCTAAAAATAAGACAGCCCCCATCTTTTGGGGGTAAAATTAATATAAGACAGGGTCTTATAATAGGGGAAACACGGTGTGTAGTCATGTGGGAGAAGACTTTTGGGCAAAGGGAGGTTATAGGGGCCATTATGTTGTCGTACATTTGGAGGAGTGTGGGGGACCACTGTTCTGTGTAGTAATGGTTATAGTGCTTTGCCTTTCTTCCTACTTCTGCTGTTATTTCACACTGCTTCCGGTGATGTGGGGCGCCGCAGCCGCAGACCGGATGTGCGTCATATGACGCGCTTCCGGAGCTGTGACACGTGTGTCCCGCATCACCGGAAGTAGTACTGTACGTGAGCGACGCCACGCTTTGCGGTGCTGTCACATACAGTACTCCAGGAGCACAGGATGCATTCGCTGACTCACTGACCACCAATGAAAGAGGTGCCCCTTCCTGAAATGCAGCAGGGGCCGGATAAATGGCCTCAGGGGGCCGCATGCGGCCCAAAGGCCATAGTGTGGGGACCCCTGTTATACGGCAATTTAAAAAGTTAAACTAAAAAATCTAATAAACATACTTGTTTCATGAAAATGACATTTTAAAATTAATTTTACTTATGTTACTAATTGAATTGAATACTCTAATTAATTAAAGAATTGTTGGAATACCCCTTCCAGCAAATAAACAGGCGAAATTAATCTTTTGTTATATCAATTTATGCTCATATGTTTAATAAATATTAAACATGCATGAAATAATTCATTCAGCAGATATTTATTGAAAACCTCTCTATGCCAGGCACTCTTCTGTGCTAAGGACTCAAAGGTAAAAATAAGTCACAGGAGGAGTCTCCCATCATGAAACTTGCATTCCGGCTAGGGAACACTTAGAATAAAAATATAACAATCAAAAAAGGCCTAGGAATTGTAAATGCTATCAAGAAAATAAAAAAGCTTAAAGAGCAAATGGGAGATGGTGATAAGTTATTTGAAAGAAGAAAGTCAGAGACAGATTCCCCAAAGAGAAAACACGTCAGCAGAGCTCTGAATGAAGAGAAAAAGTCAATCAACTTACAACCATTTCAGATGAAAGGAAGGGCTCGTAAATGTCACTATGGCATTTTAATTTACACATTTCTGTTCATCAAAAGCCAACCCATTTAAAACTGGCATTAAGCCGGGCGCGGTGGCTCAAGCCTGTAATCCCAGCACTTTGGGAGGCCGAGGCGGGTGGATCACAAGGTCGAGAGATCGAGACCATCCTGGTCAACATGGTGAAACCCCGTCTCTACTAAAAATACAAAAAATTAGCCGGGCATGGTGGTGTGTGCCTGTAATCCCAGCTACTCTGGAGGCTGAGGCAGGAGAATTGCCTGAACCCAGGAGGCGGAGGTTGCGGTGAGCCGAGATCGCGCCATTGCACTCCAGCCTGGGTAACAAGAGCGAAACTCCGTCTCAAAAAAAAAAAAAAACAAAACTGGCATTAATTTTAATCAAAATGTATGGACATGCAACAGTATTAATGATTTTTTAAGTGATCTAAAAATAATTATTGATGTTGTGGATAGGCAATATTCACTTTCAGATACACCTACACAGAAAGTATTAATGTACAAAACTTTTAAAAACATGTCACAGGTGCTTATTCACATAATATATATTATTTAACAGCAATTCTTTGATATACACATCATATGTGCATAACCATATGACTCTCTTAAACAAAGTGAAAACATTCAGTAACAAAGAGAATCTTACTTTTAGCAAATATATCAACTGGTGATCCATCAGGCAAAAGCCACGGCCAACCTTTGAACTGCCATGCAGGACCTTGCACAAAAACAGCTACAACACGGTCCCTAGAAGTAGAAAAGAGGGTGTGGGGAGGTAAGGAACAGAGGAAGATTATCTCAAACTTGAGCTTTAGTTACCATAAATCCCTTAGACAACAGTCCCATAATCGTTTATGTGACAGAGACTTATCAATCCTTCTATGAGGCAAATACAGTAAGTACATACCAACTTTTCAATATGATATTGTCATTAGAGTGTATTAATGATTGTTATCCTTCCCATGCATCTGGTTTTTACATCTAAGTCTTTTAAACATAATAGCATGGACAGTAACTGTATGAAATCTTGTTTGCCTTTTCTGCTCCCTTCTGTTACTTACAGCAGGGGCCCACTATTCCAACGCAATAGGGAATTGTGGTTGATAACTATTCATCAAAAATTTGACTAAAAAATCATTTAAAATTTAAACACATCTTAAATATTTTACTTTAAAAACATTAGATTATAGGAACTCATCAACCATATTATGAGGCCCCAGGGCCTTGTCTGAGTTCTTGTGATTACTTGGGAAGTAATCTGAGCATAGAAATCATCCAGACTTTTATAATTTTTGAAACTGTTTTACAATTGTTTCATTCACCCCAAACTTCTAAGTGCTTTTTAAAGCAATTTTCTTCGAATCAATCAACCTAGTTTTCCCAGAAAGAACAAACTTCTTTGTAGGCCCTTGAATTTCATAATTTAACAAAATATTTAATTAAATTGAGAAATTATAAGTAATACTGCCACAAACAGTTAAAGCCAGTAACTAAAGGGGTGGGAACAAAACAACAATAACAGTAATGGTTAACATTAGTAACATTTACTATGAACATTTACTATATGTCAAGTGCCATTTTAATGACTTTATGGATTACTTATCATATTAACACATTTAATCCTCAATACAATCCAAAGACCTCGCTGGATACTGTTAGAATCCTCATTGTACAAATGAAGAAACAAGTGCGTGGGCATACTGGAGAACAGAAACGTGGAAGGTAGAAGTAGAGAGAAAAGAAAGAAGGGAAGAAGGGAAGGAGGAGAATAAATTATTATGCTGGGACACTGGGTATGCTACTGTTCCTATCTCAGAGCAGATAAATCATGAGAATGGCCATCTCAGTTTTATTATGAAAATAGTCTTGACCCTGCAACTCCATGAAAGGGCCTTAGGAACGCCCTGAGGTCTGCAGACCACACTTTAGTAACCATTGCATTAATGACGACTGCAGACACAAAACAAAACATTAAACCAGGGTTACCTTCTATTCAAGGAGAAGACCTACAACAACTATTAAAAAATGCAAGCTTGGCCGGGCGCGGTGGCTCAAGCCTGTAATCCCAGCACTTTGGGAGGCCGAGGCGGGTGGATCACGAGGTCGAGAGATCGAGACCATCCTGGTCAACATGGTGAAACCCCGTCTCTACTGAAAAAAAAATACAAAAAGTTAGCTGGGCATGGTGGCGCGTGCCTGTAATCCCAGCTACTCAGGAGGCTGAGGCAGGAGAATTGCCTGAACCCAGGAGGCGGAGGTTGCGGTGAGCCGAGATCGCGCCATTGCACTCCAGCCTGGGTAACAAGAGCAAAACTCCATCTCAAAAAAAAAAAAAAAAAAAAAAATGCAAGCTTATAATTTGTTACCTGCTCAAAATCTCTGAAGCTAAAATTAAATCTTAAGAGTAAAAATCCTTCAATTTTATGATGTAACTTGAAACAGCTGAAAGCCCAAGATGCTTGCCAAAGCAAAGAGAATTTGCTGGACAGAGGTCACCTATATTCTACTGGGTCTCATAGAATCAGCAGGGAAGCAGGGTAATAAAAATGTTACTCCCCATGAATTCTTGAGAGGACAATTAAAGGAAAATAAAGAAGTAGGGAAAATGCTGGAGGTTTCAATGGCTGGAGACCCTAACTAATACACACAAGCAGTATTTTACAGCATAGTGATGACATCTGTATACACTGTATTATTTCTGCAAATAACTGCAAACATAAAACACAAACGATACAACTTTCTTACCTAATTTTAAGCTTGTTATCTACAATTCTCATCTTATTCACTTTCTGTATCACTCAAAGTTATCTATTAGGTGCCAGGGGAGAATTATAACTTAAAAACTATTCTTTAGAAAAATTTTAATATTAATATTCTCAGTGCCTTGACTTCCTAATACCTGAACTCACAAATATTTCAAAGGTAAATTCATCTAATGTGTCATGCATGTATTGCATTTTCTGTATCACAGATATATACTCAACTTCCACTCTAGTTTACAGAAATAAGGTAATTTGTGTGTCTAAATTTAGAGGCACTTTATATGAACATGTGGAAAGAATTTTTTATACTGGGTTTTCCAGAAATTAGAATGTTTCTTCTTATAAGTAAAATAAAGTTTTCCTATCCAAAATATAAAGTTACTGAGGAATTATTAGAATGTTAACATTATTAATAATCAAATTAACATATATTAACATAGTTTTCAACGACAGTTTCTATTTAGAACCCATGATAAAATCTGATACTTGCTCACACAAGAAAAAAACAACAATATAGAGAAAACAAATGAATATTAAAAAAATATAGACTGCCAGGTGCAGCGGCTTGCGCCTGTGGTCCTAGCTTCTTGGGAGGCTGGGGCAGGAGGACTGATGGAGCCCAGGAGTTCCAGCTCTGCCTGGGCAACACAGCAAGACCTTATCTCTTAAAAAACATCACCATCATCAATGGCGATATCAACACTCATTCTCTTGGGTGCAATGCCTGTGAAAAGAAATCTATAGACGATCTTACCAGTCTTGAGGCATAAGTTTAAGGGGCTGGTCTACTACCCTATAAGGTACTGTGACACTAATTGCAGTGCCCCCTGGTTGGATCTGGTCTTTTCTTCTTTGTATTAGAGTTTCATTTTCTCGTTGACAACCTTGTTTCTTCTTTTCATCTGATGGGACAAACCTTTGATAAAACAGAGATGAGAAAAAGTCAAATATATTCCATGTGATGAAAATGGAAAAATAAACGCTATTTTGAAATAAGTTTTTAAACATTAATGGTTTTAAAGATTTTTTTTTTTAAATGAACCGGCTCTGCAAGTACAGATCATGAAGAGTATAGGTCTTTGTACACCAAATAGAACTCAGCTCAGACTCTAGGTTGGTGTGTGTATGTGTATCAACACACAATTTATACTCATTCAACTAGCACTTAGCATTCTCCCCACTAATCCTTAATTTCTCAAATTCTATTGGAGGGAACTTCATAAGAGAAATTTTATTAGAAATAAAAAGGTCACTAAGTGAAAAGGCTGCTGTGGCTAGCAGGCATCTTTATGTGACTTAGCCTATCCAGGAGCTTCGCAAAACACTCAAAAAAAAAAAAAAAAAAAAAAAAAAAAAAAAAAAAAAAAAAAAAAAGAAAGAAAGAAAGAAACATTTTATGCTTCAGCAAAATTACAAAAACACCATCAAACTTCAGAGAGCTTTGAAAATTTTAAAGTATGAAAATTAAATCAGTGTATGATGATTATTTTACGAAATACTGCAATTATTATCAACTAGTGGCATTTATCAACTTACTTATGTGGATCAATTCTCAAGACAGATATTCTTAAAAATAACAATCTGGATAGCTGTTGCCACCTCTAAAATTTGCTAATGTTCACAAAGTATATTTTACAAGTCTTATTTTCTAAATATACACATAATCCTAACAGTCCAATGACATATTTTATTAGCTATGATCTAGTCTCTCCAATAAAATGGAGGGAATACAATCAATGTATTAGAGTGCCATTCTGCTTCTAAAGCTTAAGAGAGATGAAAGGACCAAAAAACACAGGAGAACTTGCACTAATTAGAGTTCTCTGAAAAACTTCAATTCCATATACTGGATTCATCAGAAAGTGGTATTAACTTTATTGTCTAGAAAGTTTTTAGTTCATGGTGATAATGATAACACTGAACTTTGTTTCTTAGCTGATTGTTCTCACATCCATTTTACATTTGATTAAAAAGTTAAGTTTTCTATATTGTTTAAAAATTTCCCCCAGATAATAATTTGCTTCCCATGGCATTTGGTTTATTCATTAATCAAGCTCATTTAGAAAATGCCAAAGACAGTACTAACACTTTGGTTAATTAAACACATTATTTTAAAATTTTAATAGGTGGACATTATTTGAAACTGTGTACTAGTAAAAAGCCACAACAAGCAAGCAGCCAAAAAAATTAATAAAAATTTTTTTAAAAGCCACAACAAAAAATGTTTTAAGTGAATAGTACGTGCAATATATCATGCTATAACTTTCACAATATACATAGTTGTACAAAGCACAGTCCCTGCCCTCTTGAACTTATGTTCCACACACACAGAACAAAGGGATTCTATTGCCACGAGAAATGCTTTGCTTTATCTCAATCTGTAACTACATGGGATTTAAAATGTTGAAACTGTTAAATATGAGACTGCATCTCTCTCTTTTCTGGCTTCTGAAATTTTAACACGGTATTAAAGTATAAATTTACTTGTACAAAATTACTTATAAACTTTAATAATATGACTAGAATATAAAATACCTAAAAATGACTAAAATACCAAACTAACAAAAAGTCTATGATACTCCTATTTCAACTTTTGATGCCTAAGAAATAAGTTATACAGCATCTGCATGTCTACACATCAGCTGATGTTTTATAAAAGTTCAGAATCATCAACATGGTTTTTATAATTAAACACCATCCTAGAATTTTTAGATGCTCTGGCATGTTAATTTCTAATTATATCTAGGTATTTTCTTGGAATTGTAGTCACTTCTACTAGCAGTTAAACAAGAAAAAGAAAAAAAAAAGAAGCTTTATTTCAAAATGCTTGTTAGCAAGGATCTCATTTGATAACATAAAAATAGATCTTATGACCTCTTCCCCTAAAGTTAAGTCTACTAAAAAGACTGGTATTCCACAGAGTCAATGTAAGTTTTACCTGTTCACCCTACTGCAGTTAATCAAATCTAAGACACCAATGATTGTGAGACACACCATTATACTGTACCATTATATTGTACCACTATGAAGGAAAAAAAAAATACTGCCAATTAAACTATGTATTCTACATAAATCAGTCATGATATTCCTCCAGAAAACTGGTTATTTCTTCTGGCTTCAGCTGCACTGCTGGATGTGTGTGACAGACAATTGTTTCATAGGTATCTCGGGCAAAATAAGTTCATCTACTATTGCCATCTTCCCTTTTTAGGTTCCATAAAGCACCTGGTTGTTGTTTTATAAAATAAATATATGGAATTAGAGCCAGGCGCGGTGGCTCACAACTGTAATCCTCGCACTTTGGGAGACCAAGGTGGGCGGATCATTTGAGGTCAGGAGTTTGAGAGCAGTCTGGCCAACATGGTGAAACCCTATCTACTAAATATACAAAAATTAGCCAGGTGTGGTGGTGCATGCCTATAATCCCAGCTACTCTGAAGGCTGAGGCACGAGAATCACTTGAACCTGGGAGGCAGAGGTTGCAGTGAGCTGGGATCAAGCCAATGCCCGCCAGTCTGGGTGACACAGTGAGACTCTGCCTCAGAAAAATAAAAAGAAACAGGGAAATCATTCTTCTAATGCGGAAGAATTCAAATATCAAATTTGCACTCCACTGCTTCATTTCAGTGTATTCTTGAATATACAACATTTAAATTGGCATAAAATTTACATACAGTGAAATGTGCAAACAGACAAGTTTTGATAAACGTATACTGAGTATAAGCCCCATTCCAATCAAGATAAAGAACATCTGCATCAACCAGAAAGTTTCCATATATGCCTTTCAGTCAAATGCCATTCTCCTTCCCAACAGGCAACCACTGTTCTGCTTTCCATTAGATTTGCCTGTTTGGGGAATTCACATACACACACTCATAATACCAGATGTATTATTTTGTACCTGGCTTCCTTCATTCAATGTAATGTTTCTGATCATCATACCTGCAGTGGGGTGTTATCAGTAGTTCATTCTTTTTTACTGCTAACTAGATTTCGATTATGAGAAAATATTCCCCTGCTGTGGACATTTGGGTGTGTCTTAGTACGTACAGGGCACAATAATAGAAACAGCATAGACTGACTGAGATGGCTTGTAAACAGAAATTTCTTTATCACTGTAAGATTAGGAAGTCAAGATAAAGATATTGGCACGTCTAGTGTCTAGAGAGGTCCCACTTCCTGGTTTGTAGATTCTGCTGTGTCCTCATACAGAAGAAGGAGCAAGGAAGCTCTCTGAGATCACTTTCATAAGGGCGCTTACCCTACTTGTGAGGACAGAACCCTCGTGACCTAATTACTTCCCAAATACCCTGGCATTAGTAACTAAGTCTCAACATACAGATTTTGTGGGACACAAATGCTCAGTCTATAGCAGGGTAGTTTCAAAGTCTGGGTTATTATTACACTTATATAAATATTCCTATGTTAAGTGTTTTTGTGAACACATGCTTTCATTTCTCTTATATAAATACCTTTGAGTGAATTATGGGGTATGTGTAACTTTTTAAGAAACTGCCAGGAAGTTTTCCAAAGCAGTTAAACCATTTTGTACTTCCACTAAAAATGTACGAGAGTTCTAGTCTTTTCAATTTTAGTCTTTCTAATGGGTATGTGAAAAAGTATCTCAACATCATTTTAATTTTTACTTTCTCAATGACTGATGATACTGAGAATTTTTTTCATGTGCTTATTGGCCATTTGTATACCTTCTTTTGTGGAGTGTCAGTACCTCTTATTTTTAATTGGATTTTTAAAAATATTGACACACAGGATTCTAGATATCAATCTTTTGTTAAGAATGTGCAATAAAAAGATTTCCCCTCAAAACGTGTCTGGCCCTTTCATCTTCTTAGTGGTGTCTTTTGATGAATGGAAGTTTTAAAATTTCTTTCTTTTATGGTTCACCCTTTAAAAAACAAAACAAACAAACAAACAAAAAACAAAAAAACCCCACTATTTCAGGGTCACAAAAACATCCTATTATGCTTTATTCTAGAAGCCTTAAAGTTTTAGCTTTTAAGTTTGTGTGTATAATCTATCTTAAATAAATGTGTGTGTATGGTTTTAGGTAATGGTTGAGAGTCATTCCTCTCCACTCATATATTTATCCAATTATTCCACTTCTATTTTTGTTGATAAGGCATTCGTTTCTCAATTGAATTGCCCTAAAGTCTTTGTCAAAATAGCATAGGCCCATTTATGCAATCTCCATTATTTTCATTCATCTATCTGTCTATCTTTATAACATTAGTGCAATGTGTGGATTACTGCAGCTTGATACTAAGTCTTGAAATTAGGTAGTGTACGTCCTCCCTCTTTGTTCCTCCATAGTAACTGTTTCAATGTTAAATCGCACTGCCTTTTGTTTGAAGACATTTTGCATTACATCTAAATTCAACATAAATACTGCCATCTATGCACATATCTCACAGAACTGATGAAACTATGAATTGCCATCACTATTTTGTGCATGTGCTAGTAATAAAACTATGTCAGGACTGCCACCTAGCCACAGCAACTCTAAGATAACATCAATTATATGACAACTCACAATTTCAGAGATATTAAATCATGAGAAATAACTGTCTAAAGTATGTAATACTCTAGACCTAATTAAACTTAACAAAGAATATGACCAAAGTGCTACGTATTACATTATCAATTTAGCTACACTAGGTCAACTGTCAATGTATCCTGTTCTATTACAACTCCACTCTCAGCTCAGAAGCATCAGCTGATGCCAGCAACGACCAGATTGAATACAATTTAGGATGCTAAAGAGGGTAAAATTTAAGCCTATCAAGTATTACCCAGACTTAAGCCTTAAATGACAAACAACAGTACTTTATTTCTATGCCTCTTCTTGCACAAGAAGTCTGAACAAATTGGTTCTGGTCTATCAATATATAACAACAC